CTACCCGCAACCACCACCCACTTGCTACACCTGCCATCTGCCACCACCACCCGCCACCACCACCACCACCACCACCCACTCGCTACCACCTGCCACCGTCACCCACCCACAAACCACCACCACCCACTCGCTACCACCACCACCACCCGCTACCCACCACCCACTGTCACCACTTTTTCACCACCGTCTCCGCCGCCACTTGCCACCACTTGCTATTTCTCACACTTTTTTTATATTTTTAAATTTTTTAAACATTTTTGTCAATTACTAAACGCGTTTGTAGTTTATGTTTTCTAAAAATAAACAAAAATAAACAAAAACCAGTTTACAAAATTTTTGTAATATAAAACTGAAAGCATTAACGTTTCACAAACAGGCGATAGTAAAATGCCGTAAAATTAACAAATCATTAAATAAGTTACCAAACATAAGGAAATGACTTATCAAAAGATTCTTAGGCTATGTATGGTTTGCTTTTAGAAATTTCTTTTTAAAAATTAAAAATAAATTTGGTTAGAAATAAAAAATAAAAAAATAACTTTTAAAAAATAATTTCGTTTAAAAAATAATTTTTTTATTTTTTTATTTCTTAACCAAATTAATTTTTAATTTTTAAATTTTTTTTGAAAAATCAAACCATACATAGCCTAAGAATATTTTGATAAGTCATTTCTTACGTTGGTAACTTGTTTAATTATTTGTTAATTTTACGACATTTTTACTATTTGAGACCTGTTTGGTAACCATTTCATTTTCAGTTTTCAATTTATATTTACAAAAATTTTTAAAACTGTCATAAAAACTTTTTTGATAATTTTTTTGGTTTATAAATGGTTGTCTCAGTTTGTAAATTTGAGGAAGAAAACGTAAATTCAAAAAATGAGTTTACGTTAGTTTTTAAACAAAAAATAAAAAATTTATAAACAATTTTTTTTTTAATTAATTTTTTTTTCAATGAATTTTTTTTCCAATAATACTAACCGAGGGGGCAATTGGTAATGCTACTTTAAACCTAGGGAGAGGATTTGTAATTTCTAAAATGTGAGGGGTGTCAATGTAATTTACCCAATGAAGGTAAAATTGGTATTTAAAAATAATTAAAGGGCTGAGGGGGAAATCTGTAACGAAACTTTAAATCTCAAGAGGGAGATGTTATTTTCAAAAGATTAGAAGAACTGTAATAAACATAAACTTCAGGAGAGTCAGTGTAATTTATCCTTATTTTTTTAATTAAATGTGATTATATTTATTTATATCTATACAATATATATAAAGCACGGATGCAAGAGTTAACAGTAGTTTCAGAGCAAATATGAACAATATTTTTAAAAGTTGAAAAGTCAATTTTTACCTTGTGCTTTATAACTTTTCTTCTTTGGATGCAAGGGTATTGATTGGAAACAAACCTCAAATTGCTTACAGCTGTTTATCACATCAAAGGATCCATAGTATACCCACTCTCTCTATTATCTGTCTCAGAGAACCTCCCTTCTCTTCTCAACGATGATCTCCCTCCACTGACCACGATATTCGACCACCTCCTCCCTCCTCTCACCGATCTCCTCCCTCCTCTCTCCTCTCACTCTCACCGATCTCCTCCGTCATTTCTCCTATGGCGACCGTCGATGACGTCTCCTCTGTGGTGCCGATTTGTTTTTATTTTTTTTGTGTGTATTCATACTGTTCACCAGTGAATCAACGGAAATTGAGCTCAAGGATGGAAGAATACGACACAAACTTCTATTAAGGTAAAGACATAGATGAAGAATGTTAGTATTTCGATTTTAGGTTCCTTTTGATCCAGTTAGGGTTTGTAAAGTGTTTTAATTTTCTTTGGTTCTGTTAATTTGTTAGGGATTTGTTCTTTTTATTATTGTTTGTATGATGTTTACTGTGTGTATATTTTGTGGCTTATTCATTTTGGGTAAAAGAGGGTTTCATTGATTTGTTTTTCATTGTTATGGATTTTTAAAGGCCTAAATATTATGAAATGTTGATTTGATTGGGCTTTAGTGAAATCCCTAACCTACTGAAATAATATGTAGTAGATAAACTTTATGTTTTTTTTTAATATGATATTATACATATTTGATTGTGCTTTGCTGAAATTCCTAACCTATGTTGGGATTTGTTTTGGGCACAAAATTTATCTTTAATTGTTATCCTATTAAGTATTCTCCTTTCTTGGTTTTTTTTTTTATTTTAAATAATTTTTTATTTATTCCACTCTTAGGTTAAATGATGTTGAGTTTGGGTATGGAAACACTGTGCAACTTGTAGTCTTGGCCTATGGTTTTCTTTGCCTCATTAGGTGTCTTTTGTGAAATGGGTTTGCAAAAAGTTGCCATACTTTTTTAAAAAAAAATTATTACTAATTTTATTCCTTTGATTAAATTGAAAATATATCATCGTGTTGAAAAGTTCAATAAACCTCAACAATTTCTTAGATCACTTTTTAAACGTCAAGTTGAATGGTTAAATGTCCAATCTTTTCTCTTCATTGCTTTTTTTTTTGGTTTGGAAATGACTTTTGTTTGAGTTTCATTCATAAAAGAGAATTATACCACATTAGTATGAATCATGTTTAATTTGATTGGGGTTCAATGCCTTGGGCCACTATGGAGGGTTAAATAGAAATGTGAGGAAAACTACACATAGCCATTGGAGTCTTCGCCAATGGTTTGCTTCATAATTTAGTGGTTTCATATTTCTTTGTGATGGGAAATTATCTTCAATGTCAATTGCTTATTGTGAAATGGGTTCTTTAATGGGTTGAACACTAACTTTTTTTAAAAAAATTTGCTAATCTAAAACAATTGGTGTTCGGTTACAAAAATTAGGATCCTATACTCAGTTGTGATTGTATATAAAAAAATTTCATTTCTTGAATCTAAAATTAGAGAACCCTTAAGGGAACTCCAAGTTCTTGAGAGGTCATACACAATGGTGTTTGAGGTTTGATATGTATTTTTGGTAGATTATATTTGTTTCTTGGTATTTCTTTCTCATTAGTTAATTTTTTTTCATTTTTATTTTGCAATTTGGCTTACAATTTGAGCTAAAAATTAACTTGGTTGATCCTATTCTGTGCTGAGGTCTTTGGGATTCTGTGCTTAATATTAGGAGTTTTTTTGTCTTGTTTATTTTGAGGTAGTGCACTATTTTCTGTATTGTTATTTTGTTACTATTTGTTTAGGGGGGGAAATGGTATTAAAATTGTTTTCACTGTGTTTGTTGGTCATTTTCAATTGTTTTTTATTTTTATTTTTTTGGTTTTTTTTGGCCTTTTTTTTGCCTTCTCATTTTTCTGCTTTTTCCCTTTTGATGTGTTTTGTCTTATCTGCTTGTAGAATCTTATAGCACTATGTAACCACCTTGTTCTCTGCAGGTAAAGAAGATTTTAGTTGTTATGTTATTATATTTGGTAGTTTAGCATTATTAGTCCTATTTTGTTCTTAGTTAGTTAATTTTAAATCTTAAGTTGTTATGGGACAGTTTTTAAATTTTCTTGTGTGTACATACATATATTGTTGGATTGTACCTTGGAGCCTACTTCTCATTTCCCCTAATTTTCTCCCCTTTTTCCAGCCAGATATACACTCCTCTTCTGTTTCTTTGTTTTTTGTCCTGTTACATTTTTTTAATCTAACTTACAAGTTAGTCTCATGGAAATTTAATTTTGTATTTTTCTATAGAAGTTTGTTTAGGCTCTCACTGTATAGAGTTAGGGTTTCTTAAATTCTTCTTATATGTTGTACAATAATTATGCGAAATTGTTTTTTGCTGAAGTTTATTGTTTGCTTTGACAAAAAATCTCTCAAAATGGAAACACATTTTTTGTGTTTTTATTTTTTGGCCAAATTTATAAACTGAGACCACTGATTTATAAACCAAAAATTTTACCAAACAAGTTTTTATTTGAGTTTTTAAGATTTTTGTAAATATAAATTGAAAACTGAAAACGAAATGGTTACTAAACAGGCTTCAGATGGTAAAAATGTCGTAAAATTAACAAATAATTAAATAAGTTACCAATATAAGAAATGACTTATCAAAAGATTCTTAAGCTATGTATGGTTTGCTTTTAGAAATTTCTTTTAAAAATTAAAAATAAATTTGGTTAAGAAATAAAAAATAAAAAAATAACTTTTAAAAAATAATTTCGTTTAAAAAATAATTTTTTTATTTTTTTATTTCTTAACCAAATTAATTTTTAATTTTTAAATTTTTTTTGTAAAAATCAAACCATACATAGCCTAAGAATATTTTGATAAGTCATTTCTTACGTTGGTAACTTGTTTAATTATTTGTTAATTTTACGACATTTTTACTATTTGAGACCTGTTTGGTAACCATTTCATTTTCAGTTTTCAATTTATATTTACAAAAATTTTAAAAACTGTCATAAAAACTTTTTTGATAATTTTTTTGGTTTATAAATGGTTGTCTCAGTTTGTAAATTTGAGGAGAAAACGTAAATTCAAAAAATGAGTTTACGTTAGTTTTTAAACAAAAATTAAAAAAATTTATAAACAATTTTTTTTAATTAATTTTTTTTTCAATGAATTTTTTTTCCAATTAATACTAACCGAGGGGGCAATTGGTAATGCTACTTTAAACCTTAGGGAGAGGATTGTAATTTCTAAAATGTGAGGGGTGTCAATGTAATTTACCCAATGAAGGTAAAATTGGTATTTAAAAAAATTAAAAGGGCTGAGGGGGAAATCTGTAACGAAACTTTAAATCTCAAGAGGGAGATGTTATTTTCAAAAGATTAGAAGAACTGTAATAAACATAAACTTCAGGAGAGTCAGTGTAATTTATCCTTATTTTTTTAATTAAATGTGATTATATTTATTTATATCTATACAATATATATAAAGCACGGATGCAAGGTTAACAGTAGTTTCAGCCAAATATGAACAATATTTTTAAAAGTTGAAAAGTCAATTTTAACCTTGTGCTTTATAACTTTTCTTCTTTGGATGCAAGGGTATTGATTGGAAACAAACCTCAAATTGCTTACAGCTGTTTATTACATCAAAGGATCCATAGTATACCCACTCTCTCTATAATTTGTCTCAGAAAACCCTCCCTTCTCTTCTCAATGATGATCTCCCTCCACTGACCACGATATTCGACCACCTCATCCCTCCTCTCACCAATCTCCTCCCTCCTCTCTCCTCTCACCGATCTCCTCCGTCATTTCTCCTATGGCGACTGTCGATGACGTCTCCTCTGTGGTGCCGATTTGTTTTATTTTTTTTGTGGGTATTCATACTGTTCACCAGTGAATCAAACAGAAATTGAGCTCAAGGATGGAAGAATACGACACAAGCTTCTATTAAGGTAAAGACATAGATGAAGAATGTTAGGTATTTCGATTTTAGGTTCCTTTTGATCCAGTTAGGGTTTGTAAAGTGTTTTAATTTTCTTTGGTTCTGTTAATTTGTTAGGGATTTGTTCTTTTTATTATTGTTTGTATGATGTTTACTGTGTGTATATTTTGTGGCTTATTCATTTTGGGTAAAAGAGGGTTTCATTGATTTGTTTTTCATTGTTATGGATTTTTAAAGGCCTAAAATATTATGAAATGTTGATTTGATTGGGCTTTAGTGAAATCCCTAACCTACTGAAATAATATGTAGTAGATAAACTTTATGTTTTTTTTTAATATGATATTATACATATTTGATTGTGCTTTGCTGAAATTCCTAACCTATGTTGGGATTTGTTTTGGGCAACAAAATTTATCTTTAATTGTTATCCTATTAAGTATTCTCCTTTCTTGGTTTTTTTTTTTATTTTAAATAATTTTTTATTTATTCCACTCTTAGGTTAAATGATGTTGAGTTTTGGGTATGGAAACACTGTGCAACTTGTAGTCTTGGCCTATGGTTTTCTTTGCCTCATTAGGTGTCTTTTGTGAAATGGGTTTGCAAAAAGTTGCCATACTTTTTTAAAAAAAAATTATTACTAATTTTATTCCTTTGATTAAATTGAAAAATATATCATCTGTGTGAAAAGTTCAATAAACCTCAACAATTTCTTAAGATTACTTTTAAACGTCGAGTTGAATGGTTAAAGGCCCAATCTTTTCTCTTCATTGCTTTTGTTTTTGGTTTGGAAATGACTTTTGTTTGAGTTTCATTCATAAAAGAGAATTATACCAAATTAGTATGAATCATGTTTTAATTTGATTGGGGTTCAATGCCTTGGGCCACTATGGAGGGTTAAATAGAAATGTGAGGAAAACTACACATAGCCATTGGAGTCTTCGCCAATGGTTTGCTTCATATTTAGTGGTTTCATATTTCTTTGTGATGGGAAAATTATCTTCAATGTCAATTGCTTATTGTGAAATTGGGTTCTTTAATGGGTTGAACACTAACTTTTTTTAAAAAAATGTGCTAATCTAAAACAATTGGTGTTCGGTTACGAAAATTAGGATCCTTAACTCAGTTGTGATTGTATATAAAAAAAAATTTCATTTCTTGAATCTAAAATTAGAGAACCCTTAAGGGAACTCCAAGTTCTTGAGGGGTCATACACAATGGTGTTTTGAGGTTTGTTATGTATTTTTGGTAGATTATATTTGTTTCTTGGTATTTCTTTCTTATTAGTTAATTTTTTTTTCAATTTTTTTTTGCAATTTGGCTTACAATTTGAGCTAAAAATTAACTTGGTTGAGCCTATTTTGTGCTAAGGTCTTTGGGATTCTGTGCTTAATATTAGGAGTTTTTTGTCTTGTTTATTTTGAGGTAGTGCACTATTTTCTTGTATTGTTATTTTGTTACTGATTGTTTAGGGGGGGAAATGGTATTAAATTGTTTCACTATGTTTGTTGTTCGTTTTTAATTGTTTTTTGGTTTTTTTTTTTGGTTTTTTTTGGCCTTTTTTTTGTCCTTTTCATTTTTCTACTTTTTCCCTTTTGATGTGTTTTGTCTTATCTGCTTGTAGAATCTTATAGCACTATGTAACCACCTTGTTCTCTGTAGGTAAAGAAGATTTTAGTTGTTATGTTATTATATTTGGTAGTTTAGCATTATTAGTCCTATTTTGTTCTTAGTTAGTTAATTTTAAATCTTAAGTTGTTATGGGACAGTTTTTAAATTTTTCATTGTGTGTACATACATATATTGTTGGATTGTACCTTGGAGCCTACTTCTCATTTCCCCTAATTTTCTCCCCTTTTTCCAGCCAGATATACACTCCTCTTCTGTTCTTTGTTTTTTGTCCAGTACATTTTTTTAATCTAACTTACAAGTTAGTCTCATGGAAATTAATTTTGGTATTTTCTATAGAAGTTTGTTAGGCTCTCACTGTATAGAGTTAGGGTTTCTTAAATTCTTCTTATATGTTGTACAATAATTATGCGAAATTGATTTTTTGCTGAAGTTTATTGTTTGCTTTGACAAAAAAAAAATGTTCCATATATGATATATAAATATCTAAGAATCTTTTTATGTACTTAGCCCCTTTGCAGACACATTAGAAGCTCGCTCATAGAGATTTGATTACTTAGAAACTCATTCTAGATAACTTCACCAATTTAAAAATAATGCCTCTTAAACTACAAGTTTTTTGTTCAACAACAACCATTGATAATGTAGTCCTTCAATCTGCCTTGTTGTTTGTTCAGTTCAACTTCAGCTATAATATTACTACCTTTTGCATGTTAGGTGTTCATATAACAGAGGAATACATTATTCTTCATTCGTAATTATTATTATGAACAGGTTTGATTTTTTTCCCCTTTTAAAAAAATAAAATAAAAATGCAAGGGTAACTATTATATAAATGATTTGAAAATCAATTCAACATCAACCACTGATCATATCATTAAACATTCATCAATCATAAATATTTTATTAAAGTAACAGTACAAAAGCCACAAAGGCAAAGCAAGCAAGCATGTTTTGCCAAAGAACACTACCAGCAGAAGCAATTATCACAGAACAATTGTCAAAAAATAGAAGTAAAATGATCAACATAGTACATAGGTGATCCACAGACCAGCTAGGAAATATAAAAGCCTATAAAAACATCCAGCACTTCTAAAACTCAACAGTTTGGAGCACCAATTCAACTTCAAAACTTTCCACGATATCATCCTATGAATATTGAAAAGGAATATCTTCCTTACTTGCCTAAACTCAAAAAGCAATTCGAACTTTAGCAAGTTCAATAACATGATTCCAATCAGCCTCAATCTAATTCAAAACCAAATCATTCATGAGAACTATGAAATGAAAGAAAATAGAAAAATAACAATAATAATCATAATAGGTAAAAAAAAAGGGACAATATTTGCCTGTGTTCCCTTTATACAAAGATCCAAATACTCTGGCTAAAAAATGTAGCAGCAACAAAAGATACACATTATCTCGTCAATCATTCACTTATATAATGATTTACAACAGCACAGTAGCACATCACCTAATGGAGGATGCCTTTGACATGAAAGTCAAGTGGCCAATAAAAAAAAAAAAAAAACACATGAAAGCCAAGTGAAGAAAACTCTCTTTTTGAAACACTTCAAAGAAACCATACAAAGATTCATTAATAGTTAAATCTAATATGACTTCAAAATATCAATTAGAAATAAAGCAGAACAAAAACGTCAAGATAATGTAGTCCTTCAATCTGCCTTGTGGATTGAAGATATTGCCACAAGACTGTTGCAACTACCTTGAAGTCAAAAACATTATGAATTGTTAGCTACATTAAGGTGGGTTGTTCAATGTGTCAATGAGGACAGTCAATACATAAGCTAACAACATGTGCTTGTTTTCTTAACATTGAGTTATGGTATGTGCTTGTTTTCTTAACATTGAGTTATGGTATGTACATGTTTTCTTAACATTGGGCTCAAGCAATATGGTTGTCTGTTTGGTTGTCTTTTGATTTTTTGTTTCATATTTCATTTTTTTTTTTTTGGTGCAAAAACACAAGTAAAAATTGTTTTGGGAAAAAATTTCTGAAAACAACTCAATTTTAGGAAATATCAAAAAGTTGTTTTTGACATTTTAAAACTGTTTTTTTTTTCATAAAAATGAAAATGATAGGTGTTTCAAATTTTTCATTATATTTGCTTTTGAAATCATGAAGAACAAAAACAAGACCACCTTCACACAAGTGATTTATGTTTAGGTATCACAAATCATCTTCCCATAAACATTTAGTAACAAATCTCTGCAATTGAAATTTGTTTAACCAAGTGGTACTTTTTGAAAGGATTGACAAAAATTACAACCAAAAAACAAGGCTCAGTTTAATAATGTCGTAAAAAATACTTATATGGCCTAGATTTTCAAGCCATCAAATTCATATATACCAAAAGTATTTCTAAAATTCAAATTTGTCATTTACAAGTATGTGAATGCATGTCATGCCACTATGGACCAGCACACTTGAGTTACCTGCAAGCTAAAAATGATAGAGAGAGAGCTAACATGGGAAAACCATACCTCATTCCTAGTTTTTGTGATATTTCTAGACTAAGCAACCAAGTACTAAATAATTTGGAAGAATGTTGTTTGCCTCAGCTTTGTGCACTTTCACTGATAGTAAAACACCAAGTCCCATGCCCTGGTCCTCAGTTGCGGCAAATTCCGGTCAATGTCTAGCTTGTGCTTTGCTACATATGGCCGCAAGAAAGTTTCGTAGACATAGTTATTTCCCTGCATGATTAACCAACACGAATTCCTTCCTAGCAGTATATATAATACAATTGACAATGAGCTATGGTATCTGAATTGTTATATGTAGTTTGAGATTGCTATCAACTTCTAATCATATGATTTTGGGGTCAGATTGTGGTATGGTTGGAGCACAAAAGGAGGGTTATGATGTTACGATGGGTGTATAATTTGAATGGTATGAATTCTACTTGAGTGGCAGTAGAATAAACCTCTTCAATGGGAATTCATGATGTGTTGTGATACTAAAAGGAATGATCCTGTGAGTTATGGGCCTGCTTAAATTCATTTCGAAAACAATTCTTCAAATGGTACCAACCTAAAGAAGGTGAATATTATTTCCGAATTGAAATTAACAAATCCGCGCATTATTATGTTAGGTAATCATAGCTATATCCGTGTTGTTTATCAACTCCTCAGGAAATTATTGAGTATGAACTTGTTGATCCTGTTGATATATTAACTCCTTTAGAGAAGACAAGATTTTAGGATGGAGTGGTAAGTCCTCTCAATCTTTTTTTCATGTTATTCACTGACTTTTAACTTTGTGCTTCTAGTTTGTAATTGTGCTCTCTGATTAATGTGAGGAAAATCCAATTTATTAGCTTTCCTCTTTAACTATGTGAAGCTTAAACCAGGTGAAGCATTGTATCTAGGGGCAAATGAAGTCCATGTAGGCTAACATGGTGAGGGTCTTGAATGCATGGCAACTTCAGACATTGTTGTGCGTGCTGGCATAACTCCAAAGAACCGGGATGTCCAAATTCTTTGTTCCATGCTCACATACAAACAGATGAGGATATTTTTCATTGAAAAATGTTCTGTTTGTTTGGTGGTTCTTGCTCCTTCTATTTTTATTTTTTCCTTTTTTAATATTAAACCTAACTAATTCATGAGGCCTCTAGTTCATAAAACCATGTAATATCCAAGTGTGCTTTCCTTTATAATATAAGATGCCAAAAATTAGATGCCCTGCCAAATTGACTGTATGGGTGGGCAAAACATTTTTCTTGTTAAAGCATAAAGAAGGACAATCTACCTCCAAAATAGCTACTTTCATGCCTGTTTATATTCCCCACTTTCCATTCTTTTTGTCCACTAATGCCTTTTGGCATATTCCAATATTGTTGTCCATTTTTAAAAGAAAGGTATTTTATTTTGCATTTTACAATATCATTATTTTTGGATGAGTATGAATGCATTTACCAAATCGAAACAAATTAAACCTTGTGTCTCAATCAAGTGGGGGTGGCTACATAATTTTTTTTGTGGTCATTTAGCTCTATCAAAGTTTGTATGTTCTGTTAAATTAAATAAATTTATATTTTCTTTGATTGTGGTGAGTATGCATAAGATGTCAGCTCAAGTCTTCCTTGTTAAGTAGTTCTCTCTCAACTTATTTTCAATAAATGCTATTCCTACCATTTCATGAATATATTCATTTCTAATCTATCTTTTTTAGTTTTACCACAAATCTATCCAAAGCATTCTCATCACAGTTGCCCAAAACTTTCTTGTATAAAGCAGAATTGCTGGCCTTCTATTGAGTATGAATGCATTTAATAGAGTAAAATAGAGGGATGGTTTTGGAAATTTAGACTATATTACTTCTATTGAGTATGAATGCATTTAATAGAGTAAAATAGAGGGATGGTTTTGGAAATTCAGACTATATTAGTGGTTATGAACACAGTCAATGCATATCCCCTTAAAAATGTAATCAGTGGCTTATTAAATACAGCCACATCACCCGCATGTTTTTGTGTGCACATGTAGATGCAACTTCTTCTTAAACACACTTTTATACTATTCTCGAGAAGTTAACAGAGACTGGTGGATGACTATGAATGTGCATTGCGACAATTGGTCATTAATCATTACATTGGATTCCAACCTCAAGTATACAGTTGTTCCCTACTGAAACAGCGAAATGCAGAAATTGCTCTCTTCATTTTTACATTTTCAAAACTAGACTTTGCGAATGTTGTGCCCTCTTTCTATTGGCTTCTTGTGCATTGCTGATGTTGTGACTTTTTGGCAATTTACTAGTTTTAAGTTTCACTTCACCAGTGTGAAAGATATTGTTTAATTGTCTTGGTTGGGTTAGTGTGTTCTCTATTGTCATTGCATGATTTGATATTTTGTGCGTGTACCACAGATTTTTACAGACATACCATCATGCTTAAATCTGAGATGTGGTTATCTTGTTAGTAAATATATGCACATGCACTTCTGTTGATTTGACATGGACTTCACTGACATTTAGAACCTGGAGTAATTGGAATTGATTGATATTTACTTCCATTTTAGGGAATCCTTTTTATTTTTAATCCTCCAGAATTTATCATTTCATGGTAATTTGACGACCAATATATTTACATTGCGCCATTTAATTTATCATGATTTTTTTTTTTGATTGTTTAAAAGTCTCTATGGTTGAGGTATTCACAGGTTTAGTCTTCTACAGTAGGAGATGAATATTTAAAGTGTATTATCATATGGAATTTCAGTAGGCTGGTTGTTACAGTACAATTTTGTTGTTGATGGAAACTTGAGGGTCCAATTGTCTTCTAATTTTGATTGTGATATCATTAAGCGACTTTTTCTTATCTTTTAACTGATTGATCTTTGAAATATAAAGGACGATGTTAAGTATATATACATATATGTATTTATATAGACATTGTGACTTACATTGGCATCTAATGTAGGTGCGTTTGATTGGGTATTGCGTAGAGGGCTCTCTTTTTTTAGTCTATGAATTTATCGAGAATGGCAATTTAAGTGAACATTTACGTGGAGGTGAGATAAGATGTGCATGTCAAGACTTTATCTAGCAGTAGTGCTTTTAAACAATGCTGGTGGTTAAATTTATGTTTGCAGGTTTAGTTAGTTGATTGGTTTTGTTTCTTGGTTTTGCTAGCTTATTGCTGGGGCATTTTTGTATTATTTGCATCATCTTGATGTTGCCTTAATGAAGTAAGTTTATTTATCAAAAAAAAAATTTATGTTTGCAGGGAGGGACCCCCTGCCATGGTCTACAAGGGTGCAAATTGCTTGATTCAGCGAGAGGACTTGAATATATATATGAGCATACTGTTCTTGTCTATATCCATCGTGATATCAAATCAGCAAATATACTGATAGACAAAAACTATCGCGGCAAGGTTGTGTTGATGCTCTTTTCATTGCAGTCCTATAGTCGTTGTTGACCATGTGATGGTCATCATAATTGTGGTAAATATGTCTTTTCCAGGTTGCAAATTTTGGCTTAACAAAGCTGACTGAAGTAGGGAGTACTTCGCTGCCCACACGTCTTGTGGGTACATTTGGATACATGCCATCGGAGTAAGATAAATTCTTTATTTACTTATATATAAAAGAAAATCAATGTCAGCAATTAATCATAGAATTGGGTGACGTCATTCCAACTCTCACCCAATCCATAGATTCATGGTCAACCTTTTCTTATAGAGCCTGAAATTTATCATTGGGTGGTACTATCTGACTTTAACCACATATTTGGAAATCATTGTCTGGAACCTCCCAATGAAACTTGACGAAGGAGCCATAAATAGCTTTTGGAATGTTTATGTAAAAAATGCTCTCATGAAAGCTTGGTTCAAAAACTTTTTGGCTAAAAATTACGGATGATAGGTGCATCAAAACCAATCATCTTATAATCCATGAAGCAGCAGATGCGACATTCCCTTGATGTGAATCTTTTAAAGGTCTGGGCACAAATATATGGCTCATACTTGTGTATTAATCTCGAGTCAGTAATAGTACTGCCTTCTATTCCAGCTATATGGGGTCTGCTTTACAAATTCTTTTCACAATTCTGATATATCCAAGGCAACACTTTTCTTCAATCTAGACTGTAATTTTTTTCCCTTTCAGCTTTATCCAAAGCCATACCTCCTCACCTTCCTACCTCAACCTTTGTTATTTTGGCTCTTGTCCTGTCTTATAAGTTCATTCGGCTTGAATTAAATTATTGTCTCGTATCATGCCAAATTTTGGGTTATTATTATTATTTTTGGGTTCTAACTCTTGGCATGTGATCATGACAGTGAATTCATTTCAAATGTCACAAACTGGTTTCTTTTTATGTTATTTGATTTGAATTATCTTATTTTTACTTATCAAAATAATTGAACTTTATTTTGTAGATTGATTTAGCAATGTTTGGTGGTGAAATATCTAGATGTTATATTGTTGTTAAGGAAAATTCTCATGGCAAGGTGCAAGAATTTGACCTTAAGGTGGTATGAATGGTTTACTCGTAAAAGGGCCAAAACATTAGATAGGCATAGGCTCAATACATGAGGTTTGCAATGTTTAACTATTTGTGGGGCTTCTGGAGTAAAGCCACATTTACCTCTAGCCTCTTGTAAATCATAGTCCAAATTTTCTCATTTTTTTAGCACTATAATACTATTTGGTAGGTTTGGCATTTAGCAAGTGACTCTGGTAATTTTCAGGTTAATCTTGAATACCTTGGACGGGTTGTTTTCTACACAAATGGCATTCTGTACCCTGATAGCGTGGTTGGAACTGATTCCCATACAACTATGATTGTTGGCTTAGGAGTTGCTGGCTGGGGAGTTGGAGGAATTGAATCTGAGGCTACAATGCATGGCCAGGTATTTTGAGATAATAATGTATTTTTTTTATGATTTTTCATACGTTTGTGCCAGCTGTTAGTGTTTGCACTTATTTTCCATGTGCCATGAGCTTGTTCAGAAGCTTTGATTCCCTGCGGTGATGTGTTCTATTAGATCATTTATTTTTGGGGGGGCAAACTTCACTTCAACACCCCATGGTTAATTCTACTTGTGGTTTACCCCTCTTGATATTTAGAAATAAGCATATAACCTTCCTATGATTTGGTGCACCATCAAAATTCCATCAAAATTAATAGCTTCTGTGAAAACATGTGCTTGGAATGTGAATGGTTCTGTTAAAACACATTTCATGCCCAAAAAGATGGCAAAAATGCCCTTAGTTTGCTCAATGTTAAGGCTACTTCAGAGGTATTTTGATCCTTTCACTGAAGTGTATAGACGGTGCACTTTAATCTTCGAACCATAGAGAGTTATATGCTTATTTTAAACATCTGAGCGTAGACAACACATGGAGTAAACCATATGGGGTAAAGTAAGGTTTTCCCTTTTTTCATTAACTTTTTTTAGTACTCTTTTAGGACTAAATGAAGGGCTTGGGTGTTTGTTTGAGCAGGGAGGAAATGACTTTGAGATATATGACTCAGAGAGAACAGCGGGTCACACAGGTCAGCTTTATATTTCAACTTCTTATTGCATTATTAAATACCATGGATTTTTCTATTTCCATGGCATCTAGAGAACCAAATGTATCATTAGTATAGTGTCATTACAAAGAAAGCTCCAATCAGACTTGGATGATTGCAAAACAGAATGGATCCATTTTTGAAAATAAATATAATTGGTGATATTCTCATACAATGCTGTAAATGATTTTTTACATAAAACAGTGTACTTGTTTTAAATGCTATGGAAAAAAAAAATGGAAAAAATGTTGCAACTTCAAAGGAAACAATTTCATTTGGATAATAATCCTCGTTTTAAATGATGCAATTGGGAGTTTCTAAACCGACCACACACCCGCCAAGTTCATCTCTACACCTATATCCACAAATTTTTCTTTGTAACATACAAGATATACAATGCATATAGTGAGTGTAGAGAGAAAATAAGTGAGTGTATTTAGAAGCTCCGATGAATTCTTTTCATAAATGCAGCCTCTGCTTCTCTAAAACATGCTGCTGCTGGTGATAGTAACTGCAATGTATGTACCCCCCCTCCAAAAAAAAATGGACTAAATTCTTGAGTTTTTATTTATTTATTTATGGGTTCCTAGAATTATGGTTCAACAGTAATAATAATATACATTCACAAAAAGATCGTACACAAACTGTATTGAGATTTATCATTTTTAAATACTATGCTCATTAGTGACCTCTTAATTACAATGTCATTGACACTGAGCTGCTATGGCATCTAATTGTTAACAGGGAAGTTACTTCCAAAAGTATTAAGATTAAGTAGAAATGATTAATGTTCCTATTTTGGTTTACTGAATTAACTTTTTAGTTTATTCATATGCATCAGCGGTTTCTGGATTAATTTGTGTTTTTATTTTTCAGGCCAGAAATTTTTTGGAGAGATGCAAAATATGGTCCAAGAATTAAAGAACTTAGTTTTTTAAGTTTTTTCATTTTTTAATAGATGTAAACACAGTTAATTTTTTTTATTTAATTCTTTGGTATATACTTTTGAATATTTAATTTTCATTTATGAAATATATGACGTTATTTTATTCAATATGTATGTGGTTATGATTCAAAATATAATATATAATGTGTATTACATTCTTCAAATGTGCATACAAAAATAATATTGATTATTTTTCAAATATGTCGAATCCTTTTTTTTATCACATATTTTATTAGTTATTAATCACACTTAAAAGATGTGATTTAAAAAGTGTGATTAAAAATGACCCTTTTTAATCACACTTCCAAAGATCACACTTAAAATGTGTGATCTAAATGTTATTAATCACACTTAAAAAGTGTGATTAAAAATGACCCTTTTTAATCACACTTCCAAAGATCACACTTAAAATGTGTGATCTAAATGTTATTAATCACACTTAAAAAGTGTGATTAAAAATGACCCTTTTTAATCACACTTCCAAAGATCACACTTAAAATGTGTGATCTAAATGTTATTAATCACACTTAAAAAGTGTGATTAAAAATGACCCCTTTTAATCACACTCCCAAAGATCACACTTTAATAAAACTTAAAAGGTGTGATTAAATAACATACATCACACAAAAAAAGTGTGATCTTTATCTGTTTTTGTAGTAGTGAGGAAGTAAGGAAAATAGGGTTTGGAACCTTATTTTAAAAGACCCGAGCCAAAAAGACAAAACTGCCCCGATTCAGGCATTTTTGGCCGGTCGGCTAAATATTTGGCCGGTCGGCCAAATATTTGGCCGGTGAGATGTTTAGATAGCCGGTGGACAGCCGATGACTTCCCCTTTTGGCCGGTGAGCCTCCTACAGCCTTGTTTGGGTCAAATTAGTGGTTTTGGACCTTCATTGCTCAAGTCAGTGCAAGAACAGTGCATTTCCGAAGCTCAACCAGACTCTGTTTCAACCTCGGACCGTGTCTTCTGTGCGTGGCATTCGAATTTGTGTAAGGTGTATCCTTTTGGTATCCTTTTTTATCTCTTACAAGGTTCGAAAGTTGCCCCACGTGGGTTACATTACAACGCTCTATCATGAACGCACACTGATTTTACGTCATTTCTGTCACGTCATTGCGCACACATCTCGCATTGACACACGTATGTCATAATCATGCATAATCATGCATTCAAAATAACAAAATTCATGTATTTGCCCGGTCTGGCAAGACCTTAAACCCGCTCGATTGCATTGTCATGCATTTCAAACGACGCGCGTGGTTACGCATTCAGGTTCACATGCATTGTCATGTATATCAAAAGACGTGCGTGGTCGCCCACTTACATCAACATGCATTGTCATGCATCTCAAAAGCCGCCCGTTGTCGCGCATTTCAAAATCATGCATTATCATGCATTTTCAAAAGAAAAACAAAAAAAGAGAGCAATAGGCATCGCTACGGTCTGGCGAGACCTTAAATACGCTCAGTCTAGGAGACCTTAAATCCTCTGAAGGTGCAAGCCCTTCGGTGTTTGTCGTGCCCGAACGACTTTTGATAAGTTGCATTATACACGTATTTCAAGCGACTCGCGTCGTCGCATATTCAAGTTCACGTGCATTCCAAAAGCCGCACGTTGTCGCCCATTTCAAGATCATCTGCATTGTCATGCGTCCCAAAAGCCTCACGTTGTCGCGCATTTCAAAATCATGCATCATCATGCATTTGCATTTCAAAAACAAAACAAAACAAGACAAAAAATGTATATGTCATGCATCATTGTAAATAGTGCATATGTCATGCATCATTGCAAAAAATGCATATGTCATTCATCATTGTAAATAGTGCATATGTCATGCATTCATTGCAAATAATGCATATGTCATGCATCATTGTAAATAGTGCATATGTCATGCATCATTGTAAATAGTGCATATGTCATGCATTCATTGCAAAAAATGCATATGTCATGCATCATTGTAAATAGTGCATGTGTCATGCATCATTGTTAAATAGTGCATATGTCATGCATTCATTGAAAATATTGCATATGTCATGCATACCACTGTAAATAATGCATATGTCATGCATCTTACTGTAAATATTGCATTTACGCCCATCCATTGCATATTTGTAAATAGTGCATTGTAGCTTGCATGCATCGACTGCATCACCCCCATCTATGGCTTGCGCCTTTCCATGTTGAGCTTGGTTTGGTATGTGCCCACGCTTTTCACATCGAAGCACAGTTCTACATGTGTACGCGCCTATTCCACGCTGGTATGTTGGTTTGAGGGTTGCGACACCGTTTCTGTGTTAGATGCGGTTTGTGTGTGTCCATGCCTTTCCTAGGCAAGATTTGGTTTGGCCGCTTGCCATATCCATTGTATATATATTACATTATAGTGTAATTTTCGGGTCCAGCATTAGGATCATTGGTCTTTCTTCAGCGGGTCATTTCCCCACCTATTTCATTCCACCCAATTACTTGTTCTTGTGTCCGTCTACATCACTCATAGTTCTGCATGTGTACGCGCCTATTCCACGTTGGTATGTTGGTTTGAGGGTTGCGACACCTTTTCTAAGGTAGACAGACTTTGCATCTCCATCAATCTATTTAACATTTGTGTGGTTTTGAACTGCTCATGATTTGATTATGATTCAATTGCATTGCATTTTCATCTGCATTACTATACATAGTTTTGTATATTGCATATCATTTTGCATTCATTTTGCATATTGCTAACGATATCTGTACCTGTTAGGTTTTCTTTCTCTTTCAGGCACGATATTGTATGTATGATTCATTTGAAGCCGGTGCAACCGGACGAACCGCGCAGGTATTGTATTCTCCGAGTGAGACGTATCGAGAATTACATAATTCTCTTACATCCTTTCTGCATTGTAGTGTAGTTTGGTGTATGCTAGCTTAAAATTGTCGCATGTTATGCTTCGTTATAACTTCTTTGCATGATCATAAGTTATGCTCGGCTCCTTGCATTGTCAGTTGCATTTTTCCCCTGCCTTCGGGCACATATCTTTATTGTCTTGCATGCTTGTCTAAGTCTTCGGCCTTGTCAAAAATGGGTCGTCTCTGGGCTTTGACACTCACTCCTGTCATTCTTATGACTTTCGAGTTCTGTCAAAGAGGGGCAACTGTAGACACCCCATTTTTGACTGTCCTCAAGACTTGGACGTCACCGCTTGAACACTCGGTGATCATCCATATTTGTGTTCGTCTTGAGTTCCCGAAGGCCTCGGCTACGCGGCTTGCCTCAGGATCTCTCGACTCAACCGTTTTGTGTCTGGTTTTGCACCAAACACTTGTGTTTTTGCTTTGGAGGGCAGGGAATGGCTTTTGGGACATCCCCACACTCCACCGGCCATGGCTTGAGGCCACCGGCTGTGTTTTATTTCCATCGGCCAAATGTGATGGCCAGCCGGCCAATTTGACTGCCGGTCGGCCACTTTGATGGCCGGCCGGCCAAGTGTGGTTTTCAACAGATATTTCTATAGACAGCTGGCAGCTGTCATTCTAGGCCATACCCCAGCCCATACCTGGACGTGGGTGTTCTGAGGAGCTGCAGATTGATACATATCTATATCAATCAAGCTCTCTCACATAAAGAAAGGAGGAGGAAGAGATATATAACTTGGAGCAAAAAAATCTCTCTCTCTCTCTCTACATTTTCTGCCTCTCTCTCTAAGGTTTAGGGCTTGTTTGTGCTCAAAAGTGCATTTTCTTTGCACTTTTGCATACAAACACCTAGCTCTCTACTCCCCTTATTGAGCTGAGACCCTTGAACGTGATTCTTGGGGTGATTTGAAGCCCTTTTTTGGTCCAAAAGTTGCTGATTTGCTGCTGTGCTACAAGGGTAAGACTTTTGTCCCTTTTTACCCTTTTTTTGCAAAGCTTTTTATCCTATCTTGAATATATTTTTGATCTTAGCATATAACATAGAAAAGTCTTGTTTTTGAGTGCTCTAAATAGTTTGTCTAGGGTGTTTTAAGCTTTGGGGTTGTTTGACCGCTCTTAAGGCTTGTTTGGCCTTTGTTTTGTGCCATTTCGGTTGAGCTCCGAGACCATTGTGTTTGGGCCTCCTCACCACTGAAATCTTGAGGGATTTCAAAGGTGAGGATGGTGCCTTGAGGTCCTAAGAAGGAGAGGGCCACGCCCTCTCCTTGTTTGTCCTTGAAATGGGCTATTTTTTCCTCTTGAGGGAGCATCTTGTTTAAGTATATGTTGGCCATGCTTCAACTGATTTTTGTGCTTATTATGTCATAATATGCCTCTATTTTTAGTTGGTTTGGACACACCTTGCATGCTTTGCATACATGTCTTGTAATGCCACATTTTTGCCTTAACATGCTTTAGGTGTAGACCCTTGTTCTAGCATGATTTAGGCTTAGCCTTGTGAAGCTTACATGCATATTTTGATGTGCTAAGGGACTGTTTTAGGTTATTTGAGTCATTCATGTCTTGCTTTGTACAGCTACCATGCAATCCCTCTTGAATGCCTTAAGCTTTGGCCTCTCTAGCATGCATTACTTGCATT